AGGAGGCAGCAAATCAGTGATTCTCTCTCATCATTGATGTATTTATCTCTCCCACTCCTTTCCTCTCTCTAATATTAATAAAAATATATTTTTAAAAGTATATACATATATGCATAGTCCATGGACATAGATAATAATGTGGTGAGGGCCTAGAAATGGTGGGGGCAGCATAGAGGTAAGCAAAGGGGGATGAGGATGGAGGAAATTGGGACTATTTGTAATAGAATCGATAAAAATAAAGATAGTTTGCCCACATGGCATGGCTTAGTGGTTGGGCGTGGACCCATGAACCAAGGTATCTCTGGTTCGATTCCAGGACAGGGCACATGACCAGGTTGGGGGCTCCATCCCTGCAGGAGGCACACATGAGGCAGCGGATCAATGATTCTCTCTCATCATTGATGTTTCTCCCTCTCTCTCTAAAAAAAAAAAATCAATAAAAAAAAGAAGAGTGTTAAGATTGATTTGACTCAAAAACACTGAGGTGAATGAGGGCATCATATTTTGTTCCCAGTCCTCTGAGCAAAATCATGCCTTGATCTGTCTTTATAGAAGATGTCCCAGGCATAACAATGTTTGGGAACAGGAAGCAGCCTGCAGTGGGTCTGCCTCAGCTTGGTCTGCAGTTTTTGAGTTCATTACTTCATGTTAGAAAAGATTTCACAACATGAGTTCAGAAGATTTTGAGGGTATGTTAATTAAAGCTGGGGATAATGAAAGAAAAATTAGGCCTTATGATAGAACAAGCCACAGCAGAGAGATAAGGTGTGGCTCCTTTGACTCTCTAGAAACATTGTGGGAAATAAATGAGCCAAAGTGAGGATGCTGTTAGCTCACTGGGCATTCAGAGTAAAGGAGGTCTTGAGTGCAGATTCAGGGGGTTAGCCCAGGATGAGCTGCCACTGCTAGTTGCTACCCTGGTTACAGGTGAGTGGGATCCCTGAAAATCTTAGGAAAGCCCAGCTGGTGTGGATCAGTACTTGAGTGCTAACCTATGACCCTGCGAGTCACTGATGGATTCCTGGTCAGGACACATGCTCAGGTGGATTAACCTTTAAAGTATGTCCACAGCTGCTCTCCTCTGTGTTCCAGTCTGTCCTTCCTCTGAGCAATGTTAGGAAAAGTTAGAATCCTGCCTCAGAAAATGTCCCTCTGTTTTCACAACCATCTATGGCCCCAGCGTCCTGAGAGTGAAAGTACCTGCAAAACTGCAAAACCTCCCCTCCTCTCTGTGTTGCCTTTACACCCACAACAGGCCCGGGTTCCCGAGTCCTCCCTGCACCATCACTCACCCACGAGGGACTCACCATTCTGAGCGCTGGGACCTGAGCGGCGGGACCTGAGAGGCCGGTTCCCAAGGGTGGAGGGTGAAATGGGGTCAGGCTGCGGGGACGCTGTGCGCAGAGAGGAGTCCGGGAGGCACAGGGACGCCCATCTCGGGCTGTTGGGCTCAAGGAGCCTCAGACACACCCCGCACAGCAGGCGCGCTGCCTCCCAGGCCTCCTCCTCCTCACGACCAGCGCCCTGAAGCCTGGGAGTCTGTGAAAAAAGACCTAAAAGTAAAATGGCCACCGCGAGGAGGAAGGCGGAAGTACCGCCCTAACCGGATGTACAGACACCAAAATGCCCTTTAGCTCCGCCTACACCGGCGCATTTCCTCCTGGGTAATGTAGTTTTCTCCACCGCCCAGGCGACTACTAGCACCCCGCCAATAACTTGGGGAATAAAGGTGTTGTGGCAAACCAAGTGACATCTGGGGAGGGACAAGACTAGACCAGAGGCCTGGCTAACTGGAATAGACTGAGGCATCTCCAAGGTGAAAAGGGTGGGGAGGAATGCAAGGGATCTAACAAAGAATGTATACACAGGGTCTAATTGGGAGACATCTGTCATACTAAAAACAATAAAAAATACATGTACTTAAAAAAATTGAAATAATATATCCCAGCTGGTGTGCCTCAATGGTTGAGCCTCAAGCTATGAATCAAGACGCCATGGTTCTTGTGTGTGTGTCTGTGTGTGTGTGTGTGTGTGTGTTTTATATATATTTGCTGGTGGCCCGGTGCATGAAATTTGTGCAGGGGGAGGGGGTGTTCCTTAACCCGGCCTGCACCCTCTCTAATCTGGGACATCCCCGAAGGATGTCCTACTGCCAGTTTACAGGGATTATGCCTAAACCGGCAGTTGGACATCCCTCTCGCAATCCAGGACTGCTGGCTCCTAACTGCTCACCTTCCTGCCTGCCTGCCTGATTGCCCCTAACCCCTCTGCTTGCCGGTATGCTTGCCC